GTGGGATTTGTTAGTCATGCTATTAAATTTCTTGCTTTTACAGGAAAAGCTAGGTGAATCCACCAACAGTTGTGCCTGGAAATATGCTAAAAAAAAAGTGGGTGGAGGTGGAAAGAGGGCAAGTCTCAAGGAAGGTAATGCAAGATTGTTCTGAAATGGTTTAGTTTCTGTTTATCTGCTTTTGGTTCCTTATTTCTGTTTGCTTTCTCTCCTTGTCTGGATGTTTGGTACAGTGTTCTTGAATCAATTAAGCCTTATTTCGGTTTATTTAGTCTGCATCAATAGCTCTGAGCCTTTTTATCGCAGGTTCAACATGTAGATGATGTAGTGCAAGCACTGCTTTAACAGATATAAGAAGGGAAGGTTTGTGCCATGTCATTTAAGTAGAGAGTTCTACATTGCATTTGCCTCAATAATTGATATTGATTTAAGTGTCCCTTTCTACCCTTCAGAAAATTGACGAGGGTGGTATCGTAGTTCTCAAAGGCAGAAAAAATCTCATAGAACAAGTGTAACTCATTCTAATTTTCTTTTGTGTTTTGTTTCTTTTGCGAGACTCTATATCAACAACGTATATCCTTTCTACTTCTCAGGAAATGGAATGGGTATTCTTCCATAAAGYAAGGTCCTAYTTATGCTCCCGAGAGAAAGAAGGTGTCCACCGATTTGACTCGTGAAAGTCTACTAAAGTTTGTCCTATTCCTTGCCTCTTTTCAACCGAATAGGTATATATTATACAATAACATTGGTACTTTCCTGCAGCTGGAAAGAGTTAGACTTTAAGGAGTATAACTTCAATGCTAAAGGAGCACCTATTGAGGCTGGTCATCTTCACCCTCTTCTCAAGGTAAGCTGACACCAAAATTTTTTTGTTGTATTCATATAGCTCAATTGTATATATTGCATATTATTGTTATCTTTCCGACTGTTGTCTAGGATTTGGGTAACCTTATTTTTTCAACAAACTTCTTAAGCTTCTTTTTTTTTTTCTATTGTCTCAGGTGCGGAAGCAGTTTAAAGACATATTTTTTCAGATGGGGTGAGAGAGACTCTTGGCATATATTGTAGTTTTTCCATTTTTCTGTTACTGGTCAATTATTAATGGTGAGCCCTTCTGTGGTAACAGGTTTGAGGAGATGCCAACAAATAATTTTGTGGAGAGCAGGTATAAGGCTTATGGACATCTTATTAGACACTTGTTCTTGCTATTCGCGGGCTGATCTAAACCTGTTTCCTATACAATGTAGCTTCTGGAATTTTGATGCATTGTTCCAGCCGCAGCAGCACCCTGCTCGTGATTCTCATATTTACGACTAATCGCAAACTAGTCATAAATTAGTGACTGAATAGAGACTCTTATTTGAGTAGTCGCAAATTGGTCAAAGTTTGCGACTGTTTTGTGACAATTTTTTCCAGTCTTAGAGAACGTCGCAAATTAGTCACAAATTTGTGATGCCGTTGTTACGTTTGGGTGGCGTGGCAAAAGAGTGGAAAAGTAGTCACTATAGCTATGTCGGCAAGTATGTCGGCAAGGGAGGAAATTAGGTGACACGTGATAAATAAGAGACGTAGGTGACACACCGATTTATCCAAGTAGTTTACAAAAGTGTCAGAAAACAGTCATAAAAGAGTCACAAATTTGTGACTCCTTTTTAGGAGTCACAAAGTAGTGGCAAATGTTATTCTATATATATAACAACCGAGCTCCCTTTTCCTCATTCAGCGCAAAGGAAAAAAAAAGATTTTGAGGAAAAAAATTATGTGGAACTCTTCC